GAGCCGACCCAGGAGAGTCTCAACTGCTAAGTTAAGATGCTTGGACAGAGATAGTCTAGGCATTGGGGAACCACAGAGGGATTTCCCTTAGGGCTGTGACTTGAGTGTTTCAACAGCTCTGTCTGGAGGTTTTGTGATGATGGGCTAGAGAGAAAGGTGATGCAATCTGAGCCGACCCAGGAGAGTCTCAACTGCTAAGTTAAGATGCTTGGACAGAGATAGTCTAGGCATTGGGGAACCACAGAGGGATTTCCCTTAGGGCTGTGACTTGAGTGTTTCAACAGCTCTGTCTGGAGGTTTTGTGATGATGGGCTAGAGAGAAAGGTGATGCAGTCTGGGAAGAAGGCGAGTAATTATGTGCACCTCTACACCAGCGGTGGAGCCAGCAGTAGGGGAGACGCTAGAGGCATGTCACAGAGAACTGGGGCTGGTTAGACTTAGGGGGTGGGAAGAAGGGGTTCTGCAGATCACTCCACACACTTCAGCATAGGTGACGGGGCAGATGGTGACGCCCGTGACTGAAAGGAGGGAAACGTCCAGGGTTAGGACGCTGGGTTTAGTCGGATCACACTCACATGGAGGCAGGTGTGGCCAATGGGCAGCAGCGAGTCTGAAGCCGTAGGTTTGGGAGTCCTAGCAATTAGCGATCGTGACCTTATTTTCCGAGGAAAATAATTGAGGGAATATAATTGAGCCCGAGGTCTAACCACAGATGGAAATATCTGAGATCAGTGCCATCCACCTAAGTGGATGCAGCCGCTTTGGGAATCAGGTGGGCGTAAGAGAAACGGGAGGCTCCCTGGGCGCTGGCGCCGTCGTGTGAGGGGAGGCTGGTCTGGGGACAGTGCAGGGGGTGGCGAGCAGAGGGACCTCTGGAAGAAGAAGGGAAGTTCTGCTTGCTCGGAGGCTCCGTGCTCCACTCCTCTGTGGGACAACACAGCCTAACAGCTTTACGTTTGCAAGCAGGGTGGGAGGGGAGAGTCCCCATAACTAAGGAAGGTGGTGGTGAACTCTAGGAGCGGCTATCAAGCACCCCTCACGGCCCTTCATCATTTGGACGTTTTCCTCTATTTCATTATTGAAAGAAGAGGCCAGGGCCGCATCTCAGCAACAACCACAGCCAGGTCCAACTGGATATCAGGTTTTACTTTCCAGAGGACATTTGTTAAAAATAAAAAGTGGCAAAAAGCAGAGAACTTCTTCAGATAAATGAGAGAAGACTCCTGGCTGAATTCTTCCCTAAAAAAAGCCCTATTGTTGCCAGTTAAACAGACACTGACTATGGGGAAACATCCCACAATGCTGTGCAGCCAGGAAACAGAGCCTTAAGGGCAGCCAGGCCCGCCGTTCGTAAGGAAGAGAGAAATCAGGAATGTCTTGGGAATTGAGAAAAATGGCAGTGATGTCATCTTTTTAGAATTTTCTAACTGAACCACCATTTTTTTGATAGGCAGGGAGCCTGTTCATGCTACTTAGAAAGATAGAGCATCCTTGTAAGTAGGGACGATCTCACTGAAACGGGGGAGGTAGGGCTGCTGTCAGCTCTTGCGGGGGGGCGCGGTCTTTAAAAGAGGACTTGGGACTCTGGGTGCTGGAGAAATGGCCCCCATCGCTCTGTAGTGACGGCGCGGACGGCACCATGGTTAGCCCCACGTCCAGCTGGCCTCCTTCTCCAAAGTTCTGATGAAATAAGAACTTGGGGCCAGGGTGTGGGGAGTGGGAAGCTCAGTAGAGAGGAAACAGAATATAAACTTAAGCCTGGACATTGCCAGCTGGTTCCAGCAGAGCTAGAGGACAGGACTATTTGGGCAGGAATCCAGGAAGCAGAAACACTGAGAATAGAAAAGGAACCAAAAGCTTTCTTTGCTGCTCTATCGATTGAAAAAAGAACAAGTCAGTTCAAAAATCCGTCAGACTGTCTTTCTGGAAACTCACAGTTGGGGGAGGATGAGATGGTCCTGACAGCCGTTCTCCTTTACCACGTTCCACACTCAGAGAGTGAAATGCGGGCTTCCCCAGTGGCGCGGTGGTCAGGAATCTGCCTGCCAAGGCAGGGGACACGGGATCGAGCCCTGGCCCAGGAAGATCCCACATGCCGCGGAGCAACTAAGCCCGTGCGCCACGACTACTGAGCCCCCGGACGGCCCTGCGGTCCCCCCAGGGCAAGCAGGAGGCCCCCGCGCCAGGCCCAGCTCTGGGCTTGGTGGCTGTGCATCCTCGGGCAGGTGCTTCACTGCCCTGGGCCTGGCGTTGAATTTTACGGCTGCAAAGCCGGGGAGGGATCCGAGCAGATTCGTAATGTCCCTCCGGCTCTGAGAATCCGTGATCTTGGATCTGTTGAACTCCTGTTGTGGCCTCTCAGGCCTTTTCTCTCTGGTGTTCTTCAAAGTGACAGCAAGTTCATCTTAGAAATGACTTTATATTCTGATGGTACGATAACTGACAACTAGTAACGATAGCAGCCAACGTCCATCAGCATTTCTGTGGTGTCAGGACACGCTAAGCGCTTCCGTGTTTTATTCCATTCCTTCTCACGATTACCTTGCAGAGTGAGTCATTTTTATTTTCCCCATTTCACAGATGAGCAAACTAAGGCTTAGAGAGCTTAAGTAGTGCACAGCCAGGAAGCAGAGGGGCCAGGCTTGAACCCCGCTGAGCCCAGCGTTAAATCGCAGCTCCGCCACTCTGCCCTCCTGCACTAGGAGGGGCTACGGTCAGGGAAACTCCAGGGAAACATGCCGTTTTGCTGGAAATTTCTCACGCCCGCCCTGCCCCTGGGGCCCCTGGGGAGAGTGAGTAAGGGTTGCAGCCTGGAATTCTGGATCAGGTCGGCAGGCATCGCCCTGCAGCCAGGTGTGGCCGGGACTGCCTCCGGGCCAGGGCTCCTGGCTCTGTCCCCACACAAGCCAGACACATGACACGGCGGCAAAGGCCTCTGGGGATGCGGTGCACGCGGTTGCTTTCAGGATCCAGCCACCTGGTTGTTCCAATTAGATCAGATCAGGAGAAAGACAGAGAAGGGATTGTGTCTGCCTCTCCTGCTGCCGGTCTCTGCAGTTCTTGGCGAGACCGGGATGAGGCCGAGTGAAATAATTTATGTGACCGTAGCCGGGTCACCTCCAACACCTCGGACTCCCTGTCCCTTCTGGGTTTTCTCTGGCATTTCCTGCGGGCTCTGGCCCAGCTCCCTGCCCCCTTCCACAGTGAGAACGTTCCACACAAATCTGACCAGAGAGTATTGGGCTGTCTTGCTAACAGACGTCTTTGTGTTTAATTGCTAGAACCCGGAGCTGTGGGACACCTGAGTTTCACGGAGATCCTGGACACGTCTCTGAAGGTCAGCTGGCAGGAGCCCCTGGAGAAAAACGGCATCGTTACAGGTAAGGGTCTCAGTCTTCAGGTAGTGGAGGAACATGTTTGCCCCAACACAGAGCGATGGACCCAGCCCCAAGCACCGCGGCTGACAGCGCACGGGTGCCTGCGGTCCCTGCAGGGTGACTAGCCGCAGGGCGGAGGGCAGAGGGCTCGCTCGCCATCCCCCAGGCGGTGCCACCGAGAGCCCCTTTCCCGCCTGGGCTGCAGCCTCAGAGTTTGGAGATTGGCCTCCGCGCCTTATCTGAACAAGCCTCTAGCGCCTCCGGTCAGCAGGAATCCGTGTTTCTGGTGCGTCCTCTCGTGGGCCTTTCTCTCCCTTAGTTCTCACGGCAACTCGGTGAGGCGATTGCTGAGATTACGACTGTTTACAGCTGAGGAGACTGAGGCTAGGCGGGTGGGGTGACCTTTCCTCAGCAGCTGTGCCCTGGGCGCCCGCCGCCACGCGGCGGCCCCGGTGCCCCGGCCTGCGAGTGGCCAGGCCACGCCCCCGATGCCAGTGCCAGGCCGCCGGCCCCCTCGGGACCCTCGGGGGACCTCAGGGTGAGCAGCGCCCGGGGACCCAGGGGCGCGGGGCTGGGCACCGGCCGCCTCTCCTCTCCTGCGGCGGGGTCTCTGGGGAACAGCTCACCTTTGTAGGGCTTTTAATGATTTTATGTTGTAGAAGAGGTTTCTGAAAAACCTTTCAGGTTAAAGCTGAATTTAAATCCTAGTTTGGGGGAAGAGAATTGCAGACTTGATAAAATCCGCATGGGCTTCGGCCTCAGGGGAAGCTGGGGAGGACCATGTTCCAGTAGGTTCAGGGCTCCCCTCGCACACCCCTTCCCCCCCTCCCCACACACAGGCATCGAAACACCCTCACGGGGCTGCGGGCGACCCCCGGGGGCTGCCTGGCGTGGTCTGCCCCGGGCGGCCCTTTCCATTCAGTAGACAGCACTTGAAACGTCCCGCCAGCCACGAAGCGTTCTCACAGAGCAGGCCCCACCGCTCTGGCAGCCCTTCCTGGGGACCTCACGTCTGTCCGCTGGTGACCCCTCGGGAGCCGGAGCTGTGCCCGCCACTCAGTGACTGGCCAGGTGGTCCAGCCGACCACCGAAGACCCTGGGGTCCCTCGTGAGCCCTGTGGCCCAGGAAGCGTGCTCACGCCGGCTGCGTGGTCAAGAAAACTGTCCGGGAGTGAGCCGTGTGGACCAGGGGCGATCGGCTGTCCCCGGCCTGGCCACAGGGTCAGGGTCCCCTTCCTCCCGCCCTGTGTCCTGGGTGGCAGCACCACCTGTGGGAACCTCCCGCGTGCAGGCCCCCTTAGCGTTCCGGCTCTTGTTTACTTTCCGAACGACCAGGCAAGGTGCGTCTCCTAACCCCGTCTGAGACCTTGGGCGATAATGTCCCAGGGTCACGCGGCCAGCAGGTGGCCAAGCCAGGGCAGGGATGCCGCGTCCTCTCCTCCACGTCATCAACGCCTGGACGCGGGTTCGACCCGCACTGCTCACCCCAGCCCAGAGTGTCCCTGTCTCGGGTCCTTGCTCTCGGTGACTCGCTGGGTCCCTCGCCACGCCGCAGGCCAGAGAAACACCCGGCAGTTCTGCTTGCCAGGTGGTCAGGTGCACACAACTTAGTAAGTATTTCTATCCTAGCACCTTAATAGCTGTTTGAAAAGAGAAGACACATTAATTGAAAGAAAAGAATATTTGCATTTCCTTCTCAAATAATCAGTTAGTTCCTGATGGGACGTGTGCGCCCCCAGGTACTGCCCAGCTTCTCCAACTTGGAATCAGAGTGGACCTGCCTGCCGAATCTCCTGTTCCACGTCGGTTTTCACATTGTTCCTGTGTCCTTATCACAGCAACCACCAAAATCTCAGCTTTGCAAAGACAGGGTGCATCCAAAGGAGTGCGGCGCGCTCTGATCCTGAATTGTGATTCGCTCGAGCGGGAGGGCTGCGGAGGCCCACAGACACGGGCGGAGGGCGGGCACCACTGTCGCTGCAGTGCCCTGGGGGACCGTGTTCCTACACGAAACTCCCCCTTTCTCTCCCGTTACTCAGGAAACCTCCCAGCGTCAGCTCCGCCCACTGCTTACCTGCTGGGTGCCCTCTACTCACCTGGACTCGACCAGACCCCCTCACAGAGTGGAGTCCTCGGGTCCAGATGGTGCCTGAGAACTGATGCCGCCTCTAACCCTCAATGTTAAATAAAATAAATTTACGAATCTAGTTCTGCCCTCAAGAAGCTGATGTTTTGAAATACCCACTTTAAATAATGTTAAGTCCAGGAATGGGGAAAAGTCACTGTTGAAACTGGACCTCAAAACCCCAATCGGTTGCACGTTCTGAGGTCTTCTTAGTAGAGGACTGCAGTGCTGAGTATGTAATGAAGAAGCCCTCCTGTGGCCAGGAACGGAAGGAATTAAACCAGGCGGGTGCAGGGGCGGAGGAGGGAGGTTGCAGACAGCAGGATGTCACTTTAAGGTACACAAAGGGAGGAAAAACAGACGAGTGAGAGGGAAGGCAAACCCAGAAGCAAATGCTTAGCAGGAGGCTCTACCACCTGGAAGAAAAAGGCCTTCTAGCTCAGGCCCCTCGGGGACCATCTGTGGCTGAATTAGAGCGAATTAGAGCCGTACCTACTGCTGATTTCAGAGGGGGCTGAGGTGGGGAGAGGCAGACCATTCGCCTCCGTCAGCTCAGCCTTCAGGGTTCACCTAAGTGTGCTGCGTTTCAGAAATCTGGCCAGGACCCCTTGGTGGACGCACTCCCTAGGCAGGCAGGCAGGCCTTGCCCCCTTACAGACACACCCTCAGCCCCACCCTGCCCTTTGGGAGCACCGAGGCCTCCCCTCCAGTTTCCAGTCTTGAAGGAGACCCCCGGGCGTCATCACCCGAGGGGAGCCGACATCCCCAGGCTGAGCGGCGGGCACCAGCACTCCCGATGGATGGTCACCCGTCACACCAGCTAATGGAGCTTAATGAGCCCAATTTCGTGTTTTATTAAACAAATACCTGTAGTTACAGGCAGCGGCTGTTGTTTATTGTGGAACTCGGCCTTCGCAGCCCGGGCTGTTCAGAGCTGGCTCGCCCTGCCCCTGGGCTGGGAGCGAGTACGCGGTGGCAGCTCCGAGGGTCTGGGTCGGAGCTGCAGGCAGACGCTCCGCTCTCCTCTCTCGGGGCCGCGTTGTCCCACCACGTCTGGCCTGTGCCGTCGCCTTTCCCGCCCACCCTGTACGATGGGCTGTGGGGGAAGAGGGCCTCCCCAGAGGGGGGAGCCCGGCAGTGGTCACCTGCCAGGGACCCCTGCCCTCCGTGGGGCTCTCCCTGCCCTGGACGCTCTGCCCGGACACGCAGAGCGGCACTCCCCAGGTTGACTGGGTTTCCCGTGGGGCACACCGGCAGCACCCCAGAGGCCTTTTCCAGGCTGGAGGGAGAGAATTTTACCAAGTATAGCAAAAGAAAAACCGTGTTTGTGGGCAGACCTGGCCTCCAAAAGCCCCTTTCAGGAAACGTCCGCAGGGGACCAGCGACCATCCCTCTGAAGCCGCTCCATCAGTGCCTGAGGCTGTTAGAGCAGCTGCCGGGCGGCGTGACGTCGGTCCCGCGTGCGGGCCGCTCTGTGTGCAGACGGCCCTCAGGAAACGGGGTGCCGGGAGCTTCCCTGTGCTGCTGGAAGGAGAGGCGAGCGGCAGGGCCGCCGGGCGCGCGCGCGAATTGCCCACGAGCGCTCCCTGTAAATTCCAGCGTCCTCCTGTCTCCCTGCGTGAGCTCTGGTCTGTGAGGGCCGGGATGCAGGCAGACAGCCTGGGATTGGATGCACTGCCCTCTCGCAGAGAGTTCACGCCGGATCCACGCAGAATTAGTTCTGAAGCTCCTCCGGTCGCTAGTCTCAGTTGGGCAGCTGTTTGGAGCAGGTAGGGCGCCAGCTGGAGGCCTGGCCCCTGGCTGGGGGCCCCCCGTTCCTGCACCGGAGCCAGAGGGACACTCACGGCCAGGACAGCCCGCTTGGTCCCTCGCCCACCACACGCCCCCGCTTGGTCCCTCTGTGCTCGGCCTCCAGGCCAGCTCCCTCTCTCTGCTGATGTTGGTCACACCCTTTCCTGAGCACACGGGCGTCTTCAGTCGTCCGTTTGGTGGTGTTTGTAGCCACGACGGCAGCACACTGGAGTGTCAGTTTTGATGCCAGGAGATCCTAGTAATTCTCTTCTGCTAAAGGTGTTGTAATTGCCGTGCTTGGGCTCCAGGTTGCCATGCAGAACAAAAGGCTGTATTTTAGGAAATTTTGATGAAGAACAGCTTTTAAACAAATAAAATTGTCCGACAGACAAGGTTGTGACATTAACAACATACATAACGGCAAGCGTGTATGACAGCATACCGACAGCCTTCTCCTCCCGTGCGTTCAGGGAAGACCCCGAGTGTCGTCACTCCATGTAGAGGTTTATCAGGCTAACCCACCAAGGCCGGGGCTGGTTTCCAGGTTTACCTGTGCACGTCAAGACTCCCGAGGGCAGGTCGTGTGGAAGGAGGCTCCGTGGAGGGTGAAGAGCCTGGGCCGTTTCCAGCCAGTCCAGGAACCTCTGGCGGCACTGGCTTCCTCCTTTGTAAGGTAGGGGTCGTGATGGCTCCAGCCTCAGGGCTCTGGCACGAGGTTGAGTGAATTAATGCAGGTGAAGTGCTCAGGGCACCACAGGAACATCATAAATACTCTGTGGATTTGGAGTTATTATTCCTCACTGCCCTGAAGGTCTCTTTTAACTGTACAAAAATCAGCTCCAAAAATCTGGACTGGCCAGAAAGACAGAACGGGTTGATTTTAGGGCATCGTGGTGTTCGTGCCGGCCCACTGAGAATGCGGGAAGCCAGAGGTCAGGACGGTCCCCGGGAGGAGGGAGGTTCTAAGGTCCGGAGTCGGGAGATGGTGAGTGGTTGGCCCCCCGAGAGGCAGCTGGAGCCGCGGGCCTAGTGGGCTTTAGCGGTCCCCGCGGGCCAGGAGCGCAGCTAGGGGCTTCCGACGTGTGGCAGGGCCCTCTGCTTCCTCCACTGCCGGGTGCCCCGTCCGCCCCACCCTAGCACAGGAGCCCCCCCAGCACACAGAGGTCGCCAGGCTGTGGGGCAGCAGACGGGCAGCGGCTTCTGACATTAAAATTTTATTGTTTTCAAAACACTGGGGTCCCGGGACGCTCTCCTCTAAATTCTTGTTTACCTGCGAGTGCGAGTTTCTCACTCTGTTTATTGCTTTCATCAGAGGGAGAGGAACGAGAAGACGCTTCCCAGTGCCTCTGTCTCCCCAGTTTATCGGCCGGGAAGACGGAAGAACAGGCGTTTTCAGCGCTCTGCCTTTGGCCCCGGGAGCGCCCTCCATCTCCACCTCCCTCTTTAGGAGACACTCTTAAATGTTCTCTAATCACAGAAGCCCCCTCCAAGGGGGCTGACCCAGGGGCTGGCAGGGTCTTTTTTCTCTGAGCCCCAAACTGCAATGGCTGAATAGTGATCATGAGGCCCCGCCGGACGATCTGAGTACAGAGGAGATAAGATGTCGCTCGCAAAACAGGCTCGAAGGGGAAGGCAGAGCTGGAAGCGACACTCGTGCCCTGGGGGAGAGAAACTTTAAGGCAAAAAGTGTTTTCTCAACCATTTTGTAAAGGGAAAAGTGGCACTGTTTCCACAAATTAGTTGCAAGCCAGGAGCAGGCTGCTGACTTAGGGTACCGTGTGATGAAAGTATCAGCTTCTAAAGATGGAAATACGGACGAAGCACGTCTATCATTTGACAAGAGAAGGTTGCACCGAGCACCGCAGGCTGCCAGCCAGCCCTCAGCCCCCTCCGCCCGTGCTCCAGGGACCGAGCTCGCCGAGATCCCAGCCCCGTCCTCCTGCCGCCCCTGTGGATCCGGTGGCCAGATGGAGGGGCCCAGCCCGGGCTCTCGTTTCCAGGGGCTGTGGACTCGCAGTGGACTTCAGTGGGCCCGGCTGAGCCCCCTGCTCTTGCTCAGACTCTCCGAGATAAACGGGTGGCCCAGCCTCTGTCCCCGGGACCCCGGGACTAACCCTGTGCCCTCGCTTGTTTTCCAGGCTACCAGATCTCCTGGGAGGTGTACGGGAAGAGCGACTCGCGGCTGGAGCTCACTCTCAACAGCTCGACGCACGAGTATAAGATCCAAGGGCTGTCCTCTCTCACCACCTACACCATCGACGTGGCGGCCCTCACCGCCGTGGGCGCTGGCCTGGCCACCTCGTCCACTATCTCTTCCGGGGTGCCCCCAGGTCAGTGCGCTCGGGCCCTGGCGTCCCCGCTGCCGCGTTTCCCTGGGCCGTTTCTCACGCTCGGAGTTGATGGGCATCTTTTGTGCAGAAGTCCCTGGGGGCCTTTAAAAGAGGGGTGTCAGCTCCTGGCTCGGATGGCCGGGGGTCAGTGAACGTTACACTTAAGACCAGGAAGCACAAAACTGCATTCACGCAACAAAAGAGTGAAAATGGGGGTTTGAGGGAAGGAGTGAGGAGAAGGTAGGTGGCGGGAAAAGGCACAGGGGGGAGGGGAGCGAGGAAGGGGCGTGAAGGGTGAAGAGTCTGTCCACACACAGCAGGGCCGAGGGGACCCTGCTCGCGGGGCTTTCTGGAAGTCAGAGTCTCCTCCTAAACGTTCACCCTCATCCAGCTTTGGAAATAGCACTCAACTTTTTCTCTCCACAGTTTATGTTTAAAATGAAAGTGTTTTTCCAAGGAATTCACAAAATACGTGTGGGTGTGAGAGGATGTCATGGGGCCATCCGTTCAGTCCTGTAATTAAAGCCAGAGGTCTCTTGCTCTTTAAAAAGGTCACTTGGCCTCGTTTTGGTCTTTGAGAAAAAAGCAAAACGGCTTTGCTCATCAGGCCCGGAAGGGCTGAAGCCGGCATTTACCCCCATAGCACCCTCCACGCCCAGTTAGGGTTTTGTAACCTAATTATTTTCTTGGAAGCCTGGCACACCACACGGGACCCGAAGAGAATACAAGACAAATAAAATGTATACAGTTTTTAAAACTCCCCAGAGGAATAACCGCCTCTCCGCACAGGCACTGTGTTTCGGGAGAAGCCGTGGGGTGGTAGAGAAGGAGGGAGTGTATCCTGTCCTCTGAGCGCTGTGACCCCACGGGGCCCTTTCTACCTTCCTGGCCATCAGGGGAGCCTGGAGCCCTCAGCGTCCCGAAGCAAGGCTTCCTGTCTACTGATAAGCAGTCACCACTGCCCTCCCTCTCAGGCAGTGATGCTTCTAGCGCTGTCCTGAGCATCAGATGTGGGCTTCCCCCTGATCAGTGCTGGGTCCACTCCCGCATGGCCGACTCCTGGGTCTGGGGTGAGGCTGCAGAGCTTGCAGTGGAACAAGCCCCAGGTGGCACCCACACTGCTGGTCGGGGACCACACCTGAGGCAATCTGATGTTTTTTTAAAGGTATTTTCAAAATACACGTATCCTTTCTTAAGAAAGAAGTCCTTGGCTTCCAGAGAGATGCAGTTATTCTGCGTAAACAGCCAGCTGCCAAAGCACACATTTAAAATGTTGTCAGTGCTTTAATAACTAGTGGCGAGGAGATGACGACGGCACGTGATTTCATCTGATAGACACGGCTGACGTACAGCGGCCGGGGTAACGCTGGGGGCACGTCCCTGTGCGTGACCAGGTTGTTCCCTGGACGGCTTGGACACCGTCCAACCGGGGCTGGGAAGTGGACGAGCTGACCTCACCTCCGCCCCCAGCGTGACCTTGACCAGCTCTGCCCTGGACGCAGAGAAGCGCTGGAATGGACACGGGCCCGGCTGTGCCGAGTGAACCTGATACCCAGGCTCGGGGGAGGCCGCGGGGCTGCTGTTGCTTCCCTGACGGTTCGGGTCACCTGTAGCCGGGGGTCCATCCTGGGGCAGGCCGAGCAAAATCACGTGATGACGATCCCTTTGGGGGCTGTGTTCCATTTGCCGTGCTTGAAGTTTACATCCATCAACGACTGAAGAACCAGCTAAAGAATCCAGAGAGCGGAGAAATTTGCAAAACAGAGTCACTTGTCCTTCGATTTAAATATTTTCCTCTTCAAATTCATTAGACGTGATGTGGAAAGGACCCTCGAGAGCCTAGCGACGCTGCCTGTGCAAATACTGAACTGATCACCAAAGAGGTCTTATTGTCCCTGTGCGAGACCTGGTCTTAAATACCCCAAACACGGGCGAGTTCAGAAGCTGTTCCTCAGATTGCGGCCTGAGAGCCTTTCTCCTGCTCGCATTGCATCTTTTTCACTTTCATTTCATCCTGCTGTCTTTCTCTAGAGTTTTTGCATCGCCCAATAACATAAGAGCTCTCATTTTGAACTCACAGTATCTCACTTCTGAGTGGGATGGGCTCCTTGGGGGGAGTGGGCAACCCGCCTGTGTTCAGCAAGGAGGCTTAGCCGCAGGCAGCCTGAGAGGGGGGAGCCTCGTGCAGAACCCACCCGCCCCTCGTTTAGCTGCCAGAGCAACCAAGCACCGGCAGAGCGGGAAGAGTTCTGCGCTCTCACCTGAATCCAGTTGTCTTGGAAACCAGAGCCAGGAAGCCTACGGCTCAGGACCTGCACACCTCCCCACGTCAAGCTGCCTGGAGACGCACGGGGTGCACGCTCCCCCCGCCTCTTTCGAAGGCGCCAAGGTCATTGTCAGAGGGAGGAGGGACAGTCGGTCCTTTGGGTTCTTTGAGGATCCTGGAAGAACCACCTTCGTCCATCCTTTCTTCATTCAGCAAGTGTCTGCTGGTCACCTGCTGTTCAGAGAGATGATGAGTGAGACGTGACCCGACCTTCATGGTTTGTCATCTGGGAGCCACATTCACAGGTCTCCAGTGACACGGCGCGTGGCCTGGAGCCTGACGGGCCACCCCGTTGGAGTGGCAGTCATGCTGTGAGCACATTCCTGGAAAGCTGTGCTTCTCACCTTCGTGGTTGTGAAAACAAGCCCTGTTCTGATATAAAGGCATTTTGGAGCTGTTCACTTGCTGATATGTTGATACCCTTCTTAAGCTGTGACAGAATTTAAACTTCCACCTTTCCCCTTTCATTTATCTCCAGAACTCCCTGGTGCCCCATCCAACCTGGTCATTTCCAACATCAGCCCTCGCTCAGCCACCCTGCAGTTCCGACCCGGCTATGACGGGAAGACGTCCATCTCCAGGTGGATCGTGGAGGGACAGGTATGGTCTCCTTGAAGCCGAGAGTTGCAATTTCCACAGAGTAACACTGGGGCCTAAAGTTGAGAGACGGTTGACTGGTGCCTTTGCAGAGTGATGAATCCGTAGCTGGAGCTGCCTCTGGGTAGTTTGGGAGGCGGTGATGTTTGGAGGAGGAGAACCAGAGACTGGAGGCGGCTGGGATGTCGGGGTTGATGGGGGAAAACGGGATGTGAGGCTGGGCTCTTACTGGAGGGTGGGAGAAGTGATCATGGGGTGAGCATTCAAGTTGTGGTTCAATATATGGTAAGTTCCTCCAATTTGATGGCGTTGTTGGTTGAGATTCTTCTTTTAATTCTATATCACAGTTCGCCACCGAACAGACTAAGAGGATTGTTTGGTACAACTTTTCTCTCAGATGAATGAATGAATGAACATGCATTTACTCAGCAGTGTTTGTAGAGCGTGTTTATTTCCAGGCACTATTCTAGGCACGAGGGGCACAGTGGTAAACAAAAACAGACAAAGTCTGTGCCGTAAAGGAGGAAGGTTCTCTCTCAGGAGAAGGACCCTCAGGTTGCTGGGAGAGGAACATGCGCTTTACCTGTGAGGACGGCAGGGGTGCCGGATGGCTGGAGTGAGGGCGTGTAGGGAAGAGCCAGGGGCAGGTCACGGGGATCCTGAGGGTCGACCTTAGGGAGAACTTTGCCTCTGACTCAAAGCACGATAGCAAGATGGCAAGCCCCACAGGGCTCGTGCGTCAGAGGGAGGGTCACAGGGGCCTCGGTGAATCCCACCCACCCAGAAGCGCCTTGTTCTAAGAGCTGAGAAAACAGACAAAGACCCGCACGACGCGGGTGGTAAAGTTTCCAAACAGTTATTGTCCGTAGTAAAACCCTAGCGATTTTCGTGACTGTGCTTGTGCTCTACTGCAAGACAATTCGCTCTTGGAAACTGGCCATAAATCAGGGCACGAATTCCATCTACGTCTTCAAAACTTTCATTAAGCAACTGTTTCCAGAAACCTCTGCAGGATTCTGACAATGGGAACCAGCTATTTGGAACTGATCAATCAATGGGGCTGGAACAATTATTTACGTAGAAAAAAGTCACCATATGCCCCTACCTCCCATCAAACTGAAGAAATAAATCCCCTGGAAATGAAAACCAAAAGAGTAAAAGCGAACTTTAAAACGCCATCAAAGAAAATCAAGGAGAAAAATTGTGGGATCTCCTGGAAACCAGTCCTGGCGTCTCAGAGTCGGCCAGATGGAGCCGGGCGAGTGCTCGGAGGGACACAGAAGCCGAGAGTCTGTCCTTGGCGTCACTGGACAGCAGTACAGCTGGGCACGGTGAACGCCAAGGACACAAACTCCGAGGGCTTCGTGTGGGAGTCAGGCCAGGCGGGGCCACAGGAGTGGAGATGCCCACCCCTCCGTGGCTCAACTCAAGATCTGCGTCTTGTGCTTCCAGAGCCGGACCTGGGAGCGTCCACACTCCTTCTGCCCTGGGTTCTGTTCGCCAGGACAGTCGCGGGCTCCAGGCAGCCGCAGGGGGTCTGGGAAGGGTCCTTCCTTCTGTCTGTCCGAGGAGAGGAAGCGATGGGGGAACACATAGCACTTCTCTCCACACTACGTTTGCTTCGTGCTTCTGTCCCACAACTGACCTATTTCTATTTTTAATCTAAAACATTTTAAACATACCCAAAAGGAAGCAGCATGATCTAATGAGCTCCCACACACACCCATCACCCAGGCTCGTCTCTTCTCTTATCTAGATCCATCTAGTCCTACTTTTTATTGTTGCTGGAGTGTTTGGGGGTTTTGTTTTCAATTAAAAGAAATTTTACTGAAGTATCGTCTATTCATACTATTACATTATTTTCAGTTGTACAACATAGCGATTCAATGTTTTTATAGATTATAATCCATTTAAAGTTATTACAAAATATTGGTTATATTCACTGTGCTATACATTAAATCCTTATATCTTATTTATTTCATGCCTACTAGTGTGCACCTTTTCTTTTTAAATTGAAGTATAGCTGCTGTACAAAATTATATAAGTTACAGGTGTACAGTATAGTTATTCACAATCTTTACAGGTTGTCCTCCATTTATAGTTATTATAAAATATTGGCTCTATTCCCCGTGTGGTACAACACATCCTGTAGCTTAGTTTGTGCCTCGTACTCCCCTGCCCCACGTGCCCCCCCTTCCCTCTCTCCACTGGTGACCACTGCGTATCTCAGACCACACGTCATTTTATTCCCACGTATTCAGCGCTGAATGGGCACAAATTTCACAAGCACGGTGTTGAGCAAGAGAAGCCACACTCGTGATTTGAGTCCACAGGTACACAGTCCCAGGCGTCAGAGCACTGGTCCCCTCTGGGGCCTTGTACGGGGAGGCTCTGGAATGGTAGGACTGTTGTCTCTCGGTCTGGATCTGGGCTGCACACCTGTCCTCATCCTGTGTACTTGTCTTCCTTCGACACCTTTACGTTAAACCGTGGATGCATTTTCTCGTAACGAGAATGCCATTATCACACCTGACAAAATTAATAAACATTCCTTAATACCATCTAATAATCAGGACACGTTCACGTTTCCCCAGATTTTCCGAAAACGTCTCTTTACTGTGGCTTTGATGAGAACAGGATCCACAGAGTTCACGTTATGCATTTGGTTGTCTCTTAAATCATTTTTCAAAAAATTTTAACAGCTTTTTCAAGGTGTAGTTGGCATATAATAAACTTGACATTTCTAGAGTATACAGTCTGTTAAGTTTTGACCCAGACATGCATGTCTGTATACCTGTAAGGCCCGCGCCACAGTCTAGATAGTGAGCAAGCCCATCGGCCCCACGAGCTAGCTCCCTTGCGCCCTTTGCAATCCTCCCTAGCACCCACTCAAGCCCACCCTGTCCCCGCCCACCACTCAGCTGCCTCCTGCCACTAGAGGTGTTGCCCTTTTCACCCAGAGCCCCTTCTGTTCCCCTGCCACTGCCTTGTTACAAACCCCAGTCCCCTGTCCCGTGGAATGCCCTCCATCGGAGAAGCATCTCCCATCTGCATCCTTGTAGTGTCACTTCACGTGTCCCCCTGCCCCCGTGTTTCCTGTAAACAGGAAGTTCATTCTAAAACCTCCATTGGATCGTTCCCACGTTGTCGTGGTCACTGTGGTGGAGAGTAATTCCTGGGCGGGGCTGGGGGCTTCATACGGCGGCACATCAGGACACACGGGGTCTCGGGATCCCCCTCTAGGGAACGTAGGGACACCGCACGATCGGCAGCCTGGTCCCTGCCTTGTCCTCCCGTCAGCTTCGTATCCAGTGGTCTCACCCATCGGTGACCTTTGCCTGAATTCAGTGTTGTCTACAGATACTCAAAATGGCAACTTTCTATCAGTCTTTCCGCATTTAGTAGCTGGAGCTCTGAGAAGCAGCGCTACCCTCCTCCCTCAGGTCAGGTCGTTACCCTGAACACAGGAAGGCAGGGCATTGCAGAGTGAGGAACCGGCTCCCAGTCACTCCCAACGTGAACAGGTTTTTCTTTCTTCCTTTTTTGCCCTGCTCTCTCTTTTCCTGAGTGTCAGTAGGACAGGACGGGTTTTTTTGTGTATCCAGTCTGTTTCAGTCACCTACAGTCATCATTCTTTTTGAACCTAACACTGACCCATCTTGGTCAGTGGGCAGCCCTTCACGTTCTAGGTGTTTTGACCTCACGATAACTGATCTTGGATGATTTCCTTGTTTCCTGAGGCAGGGGGATTTCCCAGGAGCATCTTGCGCCTTCGCGCGCCGAGCTGAAGCTCAAACCGAGCCGCTGCTACCTGGTTTCGTTTAGTGTCAAATCGTATTTAAAGGCCATAATCTGGGCACTAAGGGGAGGGGAGGGTGCTCATTGCTGCTGACTGGTCATTGTTTCTCGACTTTTCCAGCGGATAGAGAGAGGAAACTCATATGTTTGGAAACATCGTGGGTTCGTACTGATATTTCCAATTCAAATTTAAGATTACTTAACTTTGAATTTACGTTTTCAGTAACTTTTATACTAAAAGTGTGCTTTCTAGAAATATTAACAAAATTACTTCTTTTCTTTATCCTGTTATTCTATAAAAGAGTTTCAAAATTGCAATGTCCATGATATTGCTAAGGAGCCTGCCGAATGCAACTTATTTGTCGTTAGACCGTATTACACTGTGAATGTACAGTCAAAATACTGATAAATTCTTCTCTGTGTGTTTCTATCACCAACCTAATACAGATTAGCTTCATTCATTTCAGTGTCTTTGTTTTGTTCATTTGCTTCAATTTTTAGAGATTGCTTTCTTTAAATATCATTTGTACTTTTTTTTTTTTTTTTTTTTTTTTTTTTTTTTTTTTGCGGTACGCGGGCCTCTCACTGTCGTGGCCTCTCCCGCTGCAGAGCACAGGCTCCGGACGCGCAGGCTCAGCGGCCATGGCTCACGGGCCCAGCCGCTCCGCGGCATGTGGGATCTTCCCGGACCGGGGCACGAACCCGCGTCCCCTGCATCGGCAGGCGGACTCTCAACCACTGCGCCACCAGGGAAGCCCTTAAAATTTAATTTACTTTTGAGCACGTAACTCATTTGCATGATCTCAAAGTCAGAACTACTAGTTGTGTTCAGGGAAGTTTGTGTTCGTCGTTCTCCCTTTACGCTGTTGCCTCTCTCCCCAGAAGCCCCACAGTAGGTTTCTGGCTGGTCCTCTTTTGTCTTTTGCAGCGTTAGCAATACACGTACCCGTGTCCCCCTTCCGTATGCAGAAGGTGCTTTGCTTTCTTCAGTTGAGGACACGTGAACATCATGTGCCTGGCGTATGGTCTTCCCTTGTGTGGACGTGCAAGTTTGTGTGTTCAGCTGGTCCTCTGGACACCTGGGGTGTGCATTCCTCTCCTGCTGCTGCCACGACGAACAGCCAAAACCCAGTGGCTGGAACAGCACAAGTGTGTTATCTCACAGCTTTGGTCTCCATGGGCTGAAGTCCAGGTGTGGGCAGGTT